GACACCCCTCTCCCCCCGCGACCCGTTGGGTCTTGGCATGAGCGTGAAGGTGGGGGTGTCCCTCGGCCTTGCCATTATGTGAAGGTGTGTGCGGGTGTGGCCATTGTATTGGGTGGCATGCGGGGCCTTGGGGTCGGAATCCGGAGCAGGGACCGGGGGCGGGGCAACAGCCAGACCCAAAAGCAAGGGGGCCCCACAGGGCGGGTGCGCAGGCACCCTGGCCGAAGGAGCGGTTACTTCCTTCCTCCCCCGGGGGCCTGGGCATCGCCGGGAAGCACCACACAACGAGGTTCCCCCGGCCGCGCATTTGGCCAGGAGATCGATCGGCAGCCAGTGCCCTGGGCATGGACAAGCGTCAGCCCTTCCGGGAAGGGGCTCTCGAGGGGGCATCTGGACCGTGATGCGTTGTCCTTCTTCGGCACATCCCCTCGTAACCCGTGGCCGGCTGCCTTTGCCCGAGGTAGCGCACGCGTCCGTGGGCGCCAGCGACCTCAGCTGCAAGGGTGTGTTCTTTCACAGGGACTGAGGCATTGCCAGCCAAGACTCACACAAGACTCTCTCTCTCTCTCTGTCCCACACGCACATACAGGTACCCATGCTCGTACCCATGCTCGGCGCCCGCATTCCCATAAACACCACGGGTCCAGGCATTCAAGGGCAACTAGAGTGGGCTGACTGGCATCCACAGGACGCGCCAGCCCGTCACCTCTCCTCCCTGCTTCTTTCTGCCCACTGCCACCACGCAGTTCACCGCCCGGTGCTCCTCCACATCCACACGGGCAAGTCCCCCTTCTATCGCTTTTTTCCGTGTCCCCTCCCCCCCCCCTCCTGCCCTCTCCCCCCCCCCGTCCCTCTCGTGCTTGACATGTCCAGCTCGGTCCCCGACTCGGCCGGGACACCGAAGAGCTCCTCGGTTTTTCGGACCCCACGTCGATTCTTCACCAAGCCGGCTTTTCTTTCCTCACGAAGCACGCCAAAGGCCGCCACGCCTGCGGCCAATGCCGCCGCGTCGGCCCCGGCTGCCGATGAAAATGCCCCTCCGACCACGGTCACGTCCTCCCCGTCCTCCTTGCTTTTCCTGGCTTTTTCCCCTTCCGTCCTCTTCTTCCCCTCCGTCCGGTCTGTTTGTCAACACCCCTTCCTCCACACTGACCGCCTCGACGGTGGCCTCGGCCGGCAGGGTGGCCCCCCGCCGATCTGGCTCCCAGGCAACCCCAGGCC